AGCTACGTTTGACTCAAATGCTTGCTCCAAACGCCATCAAATCGGTGTTTGAAGCTCACGAGTGACGTGGCCTCTATCACCTCCTCTGAGGGTTTGTTCCAATCGAGTACCACTTTCTGTAAACAACTGTGCTCGGAGTCTGGTCCTGACACGGGTCTTTTTTAACTTGAGGCTGTGACCTCTCAAGTTTTGATGTTCACTAAGTGGCTGTAGCGGTTTCCCGTTCATCTTGACAAAGCCTTTGAGGATTTTGAAAGCCTCGATGAGATCCCCTCCTTCTTCTCTTCTTCTCCGTTCGAGCGAGAAGAGGTTCGACTGATGTAGTTATTCCTCATATGCCCTAGGTCAGGGAACCACCTAGTGAACCGCCTCTGGACCTGCTCTGACACTTTTATACCCCTGATCAGGTGGGGTCTACAAGCCTGCACACAATATCCTAAGTGCGGCCGGACGAATGCCTTGTACAATGAGAGTAGTGCCTCTGGTTTCTTTGAGCTCACTATTTGAAGCAGCTAGCAAAGAGCCCTTGATGCTGTTAGGGCAGACTTTTCACACTGCGCTCGAGGCTGGAAGTCCGACCGGATGGCTATTCCAATGTCCTTGATGGCGGCCCTTGTTGGTACAGCTGTAGCACCGCTTCCTATTCTTAGCAGGCTTGCCCTGATCCACGCCACTATTTGGTTTGATAAGCCGAACCACTGGAGCTTGGATAACAATAATCGATGGTTTACCTAATTAAAAGCCTTCTTTCTCCAGTTTCCTCTGATTTTCCAGCTGCATCTTCCAAGAACAGACAACGAGAAACCATCAAGGATCCGGGACCATTGGGCGCCAGCCTCGAACCCGAGAGTCACTTCAAGACTTCCAGAAAACTCAACATTTGACAGTTGTTTTAACCGGCCTCCTCATTACCCGCTCGGTATCTTTACGGTATCGCTCCGTGATTTTCTCAGTTGTTTGTCGTTCTGTAACTGGGATCTACGAAGGTTTCGAAAGTCGCAAATATGTACTGATGTATGCCTATAACATAAACGAAATTTCAACTGTCGTTCTACTGTTTTCCTACGTGCTGGAAATTTACTGACGACTTCAAAGTGGCTGGAACAAACGTATATCAGGACCTGCAGGCGGTTATACGATAGTGCGAAAGGTGGGATCTTCCTCTCAACCTAGCCAAATGTCAGCTTCTACCAACAGAAGCTGAACGTGACATACAAAATGAAATTCAGCTTAAGAGAGAGGAGTTAAAGACCTGGTAGCAATTATTGTAACGACTAAAACGCGATTATCCTGGTCCGAGCAAAACGAAAAATAGCTCGTCTGTATGCGTTCAATCAAATGACTCTTCGCTCGTTCTGGCCACCAAGGCTCACCAAGAACTGTACCAATTGCCTCGCACAGTTGCTTCAAAGGAGTCCAGAGTAATAGTGCCTTTGTACTAGGCATTTGTGAGATCACATCTGGAGTATTGCGTCCAGGCATGGGCGCCGGTGTTGGTTCGGGACACCCAGCTACTACAGGGTATATTGCGCCGTTTTACGAAACTCGTCGTGGTTCTTAGAAACCTGGGCTATGGCGAGAGGCTGTGGTGATTCGGATCTACGAGATCACGCCTGCCCTGGAGCAGCGCGGTACAGTTTCCGGACATTGGTAGTCAATCGACCTTGAGCAATGACTCCAGTAGCACGTGCACAGCCTCCGGATACACGTCATTGGTGCACCGTTCCAGCCAATCAGATACAATGCAGAGAAGAGCAGTATGACGCAAGATGTGATGCAATATGATTGGTGGAAACTGAGGTAGCCAATGATCTTTTCTTGTGTACATATATATTCACTTTCATTTCCTTCAGTAAACGACTTTGTGATTCGCCTGTCTTGTGGCCTTCTTCCTCGCGTCTCGGTCCTGCGGGTTATTGCGAGTTCGAGCCATTGCGGTCCAGTGTCATCGGTTTTCTAATTCGTGTTCCGTGATTCTGATTGCGTAGTTCGTGTCCTGAATTCTGTGCGTAACTTCACTACTACTACTTCCATTATCATTACAGAGGCTTCGTAGACTGAAGCTGTTCTCCTTCAAAAGAAGGAGGACGAGAGGGGATCTAGTGGAGACCTCTAAACCAATAAAGGTATTCACGACAACGGATAAACCTCTCTTTACCCTTGGTGGGAACCAAGCACTGAGACGGCTCACGTGGAAGATTGAAAAACCCGGCGTGAGTACGACCTCCAGAGCACAATGTTTCTCGTGCAGGGTGATTAACGCCTGGAATAAGCTACCTACGGATGTGGTAGCGGCACAATCAGTTACCATCTTCAAGCTACGACTCGACCAGTGTTGGGAGGAAGTGTCCCCGGAGGACCTCCATCTTTAGGAGTGTCTTCAGTCTACATATCTCAGGTTTTTGTTCATTTTCGTCCAGCGTTACTCCACTTACTCTTAAATCCTCACATTTTAAAAGTGCTCTACTTTAGATTTTATGCTGGAGCACCTCCTACTCTTTTGACCTGCCCGACACCCTGCTGGAGGGATCGACCACGAGGGGGAGTGTGCGACGTCAGATAAGCTGCGTGAACCTGCTCAACTCCGAATGATTGGTCCTCCTGTCAGTGCATACAGGCTGCCAAACTTACTCTTTCTCAGACGAGGAACGATAACGAACACATACGAAATGCTGTCGTAGCACTCTGAGAAGAGGATTGCAGCTTGTCAGTGCAAGAAGCTGGACGGTACCTGGCAGCAGCCGCACTTCCTGGAATCCTTCAAAATAATGAACGGTCTGTCGGGCATCAAAAGCAAGAAACTATTCTCTGCGATCCCGAAAAGTGGCACCAGGGGGCATAGCTTTAGACTCCAGCGTAATCACATTAGGCTGCAACTCAGGGCAAGGTTCTTCACCAACAGGGTGATCCCACTGCGGAATAGGCTGCCAGAACAAGTGGTCAGATGCAGCACTGCAGTGGCATTCAAGATCGCACTGGATGAGTGTTTGAGAACAGTCTACCCAGAAGCGGCCTACTGAGGAGCAAGGAGCTAGCCGGTAAGATTTGATGTTACAGATGTGAATGTAAGCTAGAGAAAGGTGATTTTTGTTAAGTACTTTCTGTGAATATACCAGGTACCAACATTTAACATTTTATGACAATTCCATTAGGTGTCATTGGTCAGGATCAGGGTCATTCATACTAACCTATGGCAGCTTAGCCCAGGCCTAGACCGCTGAGGCTCATCTGTCTATTTTCAGAAGCACCCCAGCAGGAAACGTATACTAAGGACAGAGACAGCCAGACCCACCAACAGTCTATGCTGGAATCAGCAATACGCAACATTGGAAGCTACAGACACCCGCCAACAACACAAAAATCTGGACGCTCGATTGGCTGGAATCCACATTTCGTCCTGTGCATACTAAACTGAATTTGACCTTGTGGTATATTCGCGCGTGGTTTGAATTTTAGAATTGTTCTCAGTATATAAAAATTTGTGGTTGGAAACTAGTCAAATATCTATAGATATTTCACATTTTTAGCACCAAACCTTTTAGTGCTTACTATACAAAGTGTTGAACCCTTTAGCGGTTCACAAAAGTTGTACCCGAGTCGTTTTTAGTTTTTTATAGCTGTGTTCCCAAAGCGTTTTTAGCTATTTTACCCGTTTTTCTCACAAACCGAAAGTCATTGTGGTGGCACTGGTAGCAATCTGTATGTAGCGGACGGCATTCAGTGCAATAGGTGCAAAAAGTAGTACCATCAAAAGTGCAAAGAGAGAGTATCTCATACACCTTCAGAACAAGAATCTGAAGTGGGTATGTGACCGGTGCGAGGCGTTCACGCTTGAGTGTTCTCGCCTGGTACAGGGTATGGTTGCTGCTGAGGAGTTAACCCCTAAGATGCAGCTAAAGAGCACAAATACGTCGGAAAAGAACAAGGGTAAACAGAGCATCAGTGTTAAACCGACAGAGTCGGTAGAAAGTAGGTTGAAGACGAAAGGGGGACAGACTGCTAAAAAGGAAGATACAGCATCTGAAGAGATTGCAGCCCCCTTTTCGCGAATGGAAGTTCTCGAAAGAGAACTACCCCAGGTGAAAAATTGCACTCAAAAGATGTTAGGTAGGACGTGGAACCTTGTCTTCCATAATTTGAGGGAGCCACATATTGGCGAAAGTAGGCCGAGAAAGGAAGCTGAAAGGCGCAGCATCCATGACATATTTAGGATGATTGGGATGCCGGCAAGCACTCCAGTTGTCAAGTGCCACCGCACTGGAGTATGTAAAGGCGT